TATTCTCTCCTTTTGAAAATTAAATTACTTGTGTTTTTCAATTAAAAATAGTTTCAGAAAAATACACAGTACAAGCCAGGTGAGGTGGCTCATGCCTATAATCCTAGCACTTTGGAAGGCTGAGGTGGATTACTCGAGCTCAGGAGTTCAAGACCAGCATGAGCAAGAGTAAGATCCTTTCTCTACTAAAAATAGAAAAAGTAGTTGGGTAAGGTAGCAGATGCCTGTAGTCCCAGCTACTTGGGAGGCTGAGGACCACTTGACCCCAAGAGTTTGAGATTTCTATGAGCTATGGTGCCAGAGCATTCTACACAAAGTGACTCTGTCTAAAAAAAAAAAGGCAGTACAGATTGGCAGCACTGAATATCGAAGAAAGCTTTCTATATTTTACGAAGACTGAGATAAACTGCTGTACTACCAACTGCTGTGTAGTTAGCCAGTGTTCAGCTGTCCATCATTGTCTTACAGCTATGCCAGAAAAATACGAGTTATCTTGCAGTTTTCCCCTTTAATTTTGCAAATGTTTTATGACATAGTTATCTTATAACTTTGTAGTATCTTATGATTTTCTAATAACAGAAACTATTTTGAAAAAGTAAGGTTTTTTTAAATGTGAGGAAAGGTCTCAGAAGAGCAACACAGTACCTAGAAAACCGCTGATAGAATGGGGCCTTGAGAGCAACTTCAGTGGTAATTGAAGTTTATGTTATGCCCTTGTCATCAGCAAAAGCTTCAGTATGTCTGTTAGTCTCCATTTTAAGAGACTGAAATGGGCTGGGCGCAGTAGCTCCTGCCTGTTATCCTATACTCTGGGGGACTGAGGCTGGTGGATTGCCTGAGCTCATGGGTTCAAAACTAGCCTGAGCCAGAACTAGACCCTACCTTTAAAAAATAGCTAGGCGTTGAGAGGGGTGCCTGGAGTTCCAGATACTCAGGAGGCTGAGGCAAGAGAATTGCCTAAGCCCAGGAGTTGGAGGTTGCTGTGAGCTGTGATGCCACAGCATTCTACGAAGGCAACAAAATGAGAACTGTCTTCAGAAATAAAAAAAGGAAAAACTGAAATGTTTATAATGCTTTATGGAAATTTTTCATAAAAAGTTATTAAAAATTTTTGAACTTCAGTTTGATTATCTGGAAAGCTAATCTGTATAAAACATCTTAATTTTTGCTCATTGCCTCCATCTAGGTTGTTATTTCCCTGAAGGCAAAACTTAGTTGATGTTATTGAGCTACTGTTAAGAATCTTTTGGTTACTTGTTATCTCTAAACCAGTTCAATACAAATCTCCCAGCAAAAGAAAAAAGAAGTTGTTTTTTTTTTTTTTGAGACAGAGCCTCAAGCTGTACCCCTGGCTAGAGTCCCGTGGCATCACAGTTCACAGCAACCTCCAACTCCTGGGCTCAAGCGAGTCTC